AGTTCTGTTCCTAAGTATATCTTTAAGTTGAATTTGTATATAAGCTTGAACAGTTAGGTACTAAAGTCAGTCAGATGTTTGTTTTGTTGTTATTAGGTGCTGTTGAGTTAGTTCCAACTCATTACGACTCGATGCATAACAGAACAAAACACTGCCTGGTCCTGCGCCATCGTTCAAATTTATTGTGTTTGAGTACGTTGCTACTGCCACTGTGTCCCCATCTCGTTGGGGGTCTTCCTCTCTTACGCTGACTCTCCGCTTTACCTAGCATGATGTCCTTCTCCAAGAACTGGTCCTTTTTGGTAATATGTCTGAAGTAAGAGAGCTGAAGGCTTGCCATCTTGGCTTCTAAGGAGCATTCTGGCTGTACTTCTTCTAATACAGATTTGTTTGTTCTTCTGGCAGTCTATGGTACGTTTAGTATTGTTTTCTAACACCAGAACTCAAATGCATCAATTATTTGATGGTCTTCCTTATTCGTTGTCCAACTTTCACATGCATGTGAGGCTATTGAAAATAGCATGGCTTGGATCAGGTACACCTTAGTTCTCAAACGGACATCTTTGCTCTGGAACACTTTAAAGAATTAAAGAAGTCTTGTGCAGCAAATTTGTCTAATGCAATGCATTGTTTGATTTTTTCACTGCTGCTTCTTCCATTCATTTTTAAAAAATGTTTTATTGTGTAGTTTACATGGGAGAACATTAGTTTTACATTCATCCTATCGTATATCGTTTCATTATCATGGTTACAATCCCCTCCATGCATCATCAACCAACCAAAGAGTATACCCTGCAAGTCTGCCCCTGGCCATCAGCATACAGCCCCTCTCCCTCTCTGGGTTTAAAGTCCCCAGCCTCTTCCATGTGTTTTGATTGTGAATCCAATCAAATGATTTGTCAAATTTGTCAAAGACTTGACAAATGAAGTCTTTGACAACTTCAAATTGATCGTGATGTTATTTATTGGTCCACTTTACATTGATGTGCAATCCACATTGAAGACTGTGCTCTTTGATCTTCATCATTAAACATTTTAAGTCCTTTTCGCTTTCAGCAAGCAAGGTTGTATCATTTGCATATCACAGGTTGTTAATGAGTCTTCTTCCAATCCTGATGTCATGTTCTTCTTCATATAATCCATCTTTTTGGATTTTTTGCTCAGCATGCAGATTGAATAAGTACGGTGAAAGGATACAACCTTGGCTCACAGTTTTCTTGATTTTAAACCATTCAGTATCCCCTTGTTCTGCTTGAACAACTGCCCCTTGGTCTATGTACAGGTTCCTCATGAGCACAATGAAGTGTTCTGGAACACCCATTCTTCCCAGTGCTGTCCATAGCTTGTCATGATCCACACAGTCAAAAACCTTTGCATAGTCAATAAAGCAACATCTTTCTAGTATTCTGCACTTTCAGCCAAGATCCATCTGTTATCAGCAATGAGATCCCTTGTCCCATGCCCTCTTCTGAATCTGGCTTAAATTCTTGGCAGGTCCTTGTTGATGTACTGTTGTAGCCATTTTGAATGATCTTCAGCAAAATTTTACTTGCATGTGATATGAATGATCTTATGCAATGAGTTCCACATTGTGTTGGGTCACCTCTCATTGGAATGGACACAGATAATGTATAGCTCTTAAAATTGATTGTCCTGGTAGCTGTCTTCCAAATTTTTTGGCATAAGTGAGTGCTTACTCCATTTGTTGAAAGATTTCAGTTTGTATTCTGTCAATTCCTGGAGCTCTGTTTTTTCGCCAATGTCTATAGTGCAGTTTGGACTTCTTCCTTAGACTGCATTGGATTGGTCACTTGAAATAGTTGAACATCAACCATTTCTTTTTGGTCTTAGTCTATATGAGTCCTGGCGTGGCACTGTAGGATAAGTACTGCACTGCTTATGGAAAGGTTGGCAGTTCAAACCCAACCAGCTGCTCTTCAGAAACTACTCAGGGTTGCTTTGAGTGGGAACCGACTCAATGACACTTAACTACAAAATAACATGGTATACAATGTACCATATTATTCTATGTAGAAAAAATATTAAGAAAATACTTCCAGATAAACTAAAACATCTTTAACATGATAGGGATGGTTAGATGCACTTTGCAAAGTAGCTCTAGTTTGTTATGACAAATATTGCATGATGTACCTCAAGTTTTTACAGGAGTTGGTTCATGATCCCTGTAATATTAGTAATATCCCTGGATTTTAGTAAGCAGGGACTGCCTGTGAAGTGTTTTCTGCATAACATAGACGAAGATGTGCAATTCATATCTTGCAACCCTTCTTGTTGCCTCCAGAGCCATTTCCACAAGGCACCTGGGTGTGGGGAAGACACTGGGGACAGTTGGGTGGGACAGAGGAAGGGCTTACATCATTGCAATGCACAGAACTTCAAATAGAACATGGTACACCAGTCCTTCAGCCACCCCCTGTGGAGGGCGCGGGGATGCTGGTGGGTGGGGGCTTCACCCTGTGACCTTTGCTTCACCTGGTGATCCTCTGCTTCAACTCACCTCTTTGGATTCACCCTCTGACTTGCCTTCCTAGTTCTAAATTTCTACTCATTGATTTTCTAAAGACTACAGCTAAGGAGCTCTGGTAGCGTAGTGGTTACGAATTGGGCTGTGAACCTCAAGGTCAGCTGTTCGAAACTACCAGCTGTTCCTCAGGAGAATGTTGAGGCTTTCTGTTCCCGTAAAGATTTACAGCCTCGGAAACCCTGTACAGGGTCGCTATGGGTCGGAACCGACTCCACGGCACATGACAACAACAACAACAGCTAAGCAAACCTTCTGGAGCAGTTCTGATCTATGACACGTAGAGTCACCTGGGGTCAGAATCAACGTGATACCAGTGAGTTTGGTTGTTTGGTTTTCTGATGTTTAGCATTTTATCTGTCTCTTTTGTGGGCTTGGCTTCCAGATGTTTTTAAGATCACCCATAATCAGCTTTTAAAAGTCTTTTTTCTAAACCAAGACAGTTCCTTCCCTAAAAAGAATTGTGGAGTCAGGTAAGAAAGGTATGTTGCTCATGGACCCCCATGTTGAAGCATATGGTTAGATTAGGAAAGCCCCAAGAGTTGGGAAAGGCTACTTTTAGGGTTTGTTTCAGGCTCTGTGAAACCCAGTTCATAGCCTTGCTAATTTCTCTCTTGGGTGTTCCATCCACTGCTCTGGGCCCATCTCTCAGCTTCTGCCGCTGGAGCTGCTGGGATTGAATGAAGGCCTCTTTTCCGTTTATGTCTTTGCCCTTGTAACTGCACACAGTTACTCCTGGTGCACCAAGCCTGCTATCTCTCCAGAGTTCAGGAGAGACGTGTAACCAGTCACAGACTTTCAGAGGCCCTGGAGCACATCTGGTTCCTTCTGTTATTTAACAGGGAAACTGAGGTACACCTGGCAAAGCGTCTTGTCCACATCACACACTCTGGAGACAGCATAGTTGGAGAGTCATGCTATCTATGTTTGAACGAAGTGCTTTTGTGTGGATGAGTGTGAATAGATTCTGGTCTGCATGCCTTGTGTAGCTGTTGTCAGTTGCTGTATAGTTGACTGAGTCATTACGACCCTATGTGCTCAGAGTAGAACTGTGCTCTATAGGCTTTCAAGGTTGTGACCTTGCTGAAGTGGATTGCCAGGACTATCTTCCGAGGTGCCCCTGGGTGGGTTAGACCTGCCAGCCTTTCAGCTTAAAGTACAGCACACTTGGGGTTGGGAAATTAACATGGGATGCAAACCAGTTAATCCTTATCTGTAGCACCACACTATTTAGGGTTGCTGTTCCACGGGAGAAAGATAGGGCTTTCTGCTCCCATAAAGATTTACAGCCTCCGAAACCCTGTACAGGGTTGCTATGAGTCGGAACCGACTCCACACACATAACCACCACCATCATCAGCATAAGGAATGTTAGCAGTGGTTTTAGTGGGCCGATGGAGAATGCTGAGATAGGCTGAGTTAGGATCCCAACACTGATCCGCACACTTCCCCAGCTCGACTGGAAGTCCCTCAGAAGTGGACTTCCGCAAGGGTGAGCCAGGATGGTGGGCTCTGGCATTGTGTGGGCAGCAGAGGATCATGAGCCAGACCTGCTACTCCCTCAGCCTAGATGGCTGCTGCTGGGGGTTCCTAGACCCAGGCCCTGGACCAGGGCAGAGAGGAAAGGTGATTGGGGATGCAGAGGGGGCCTGGAGCCTGTTTCCCAGGCAGGGCACTAGTTGAGACTCCAAGATGAGGTCCTTAGCGGCTGGGATTGCCCCTAAGATTGGGTCATGTGGTGTAGACCTTCAGGTTAGAGAAGTGTCTTGAAAGTCTCCAGTTGACAGAAGGTGCCTCCAGAGGAGGGAAACTGAGTGGGTGGGGGATGAGCCCCCTATAAGCCTCGCCTTCAGGAGCTGGGATGCTGGGACAGGGAGGTAACACTTGGAGTTGTGGGGCATCAGTGTTTGAGGTGGTGGTAAGTCGTGGGATCAGAACAAAAGCTTCTGGAAAATAGTGTTAAGTTAGGTCCCAGGTACAAATCCCATTATAGTTCCCAGGCAACTCCTTGGGCAGGGGACTCCACAGCTGGTAGGAAGTATAGGTGTTCCTGCTTTGCTGAGCTTTTTCTCGGGATAAAAGCCTAGTCAAGCCCTGTACCTTGGAGTGCTTCTGCCCATTCATCTATCCATTAGGACAGCTGTCTGTCCCCTCAGAACAGCCTTTTAGTATGTACAGTATATCCATCCACATATCTCTCCATCCAGTACTGCTTCAGTTCATCCAGTTGCCTATCCCTCCCTCCCTCCTCCCCATCCCTCTCCAGATCTAGCAATATTCTTCATACTTAACCAGGGACTCCAAGATGAATAAGCCATGCTGTTTGCCTTGAAGGGCTAGTGGGGGTTCTCTTGGGAACCCAGGAATGCCACATCACAGTTCAGAGCAGAACTGACCTGAAAAGGTCTGCTTGGAGGCAGGGCTGATGCTGTGCGTCTGTCCTGTTGCAGGTGCACATCTAAGCTATCGCGGGTGTAACGCGTGTCCTGGGCACCACTTGAAGGAGACCGCCAATGAGCAGTTTCTGTTCGCCATCAATGTCTCCGTTGCCAGCTGTGAGAGATCACTCAGGAATTTAAAACCAATTACCAGAGGTGCTATTTTCCATAGATATGCCTTTACCTATCTGCCCACAAAGGGTCTGCCCCAGGCAGAGGTGGAGGACATGGCAGAGGTGTGTGTGTGTGTGGTGGTGGGGGGCGGGGAGAGTGAGCAGTGGCTTCACTTGTCAACTGCTCAGCAGTCTTAAAATGTCCCCAAAGAGTGTCTGCAGAGAGACAGGGGGTAAGCACACTGAATTATTTCTCCAGTAATTGGTACTGAAGAAGCCACAGACATCCTGGGATCAACATCAAAGAGCTCAGAGCTTTGGCCTGCCTTGGAGGACATAGGACCAGCTTGTCAGGGCTCCTGGAGCTGAGTTCCTATCGGCTTCGCCCCTTCCTTCTCCTCCCTTCCTTCTTAAAGGTGCTGACAGGGAGACCAGACTCTCCTTCGCTTTCTGCACAAGACAGCCTGGGGGCTGGGGCTGGGTATGTGTAGGGTAGAGCCCTGCAGGGGAAGTGACAGAGACAGGAAAGACAGTACTGAGACCCTTCTTTGTGGGCCAGGACACGAGTTAGCGTGGATGGGGGTTCTGTAAATGCTGAGTACAGGACTAAGTGAGTTTCTTCTCCTCAAGAAGTCTGGCCAAGGCCAGTGCAGAAAGGCTTCTTGGGCATTTAGATGAGCAACTGGAACCAACTGTTTATGTACATTTTTTAACAGTTGAATTCTGTGTTTGTGTACACTAGTGTATGCATGCATGTATGTGTGTATATACGCATTTGTGTGTGGACCTGCTTTCATCACATTGCTGCCTGGTAGTTGGAGCACCTCTTCAGCAGCTGCTCCTTCATCTGGTCACCTTATGCTGGAGGCTTCTCTCTTCCCAGCAGGTAGGGCGCAGGTGCAGCCTGGGGTGGATGTAGACAGGCCAGCCTTCTAGCTGAGTCTCCATTACCTTCCTGCTGTGGAGCCCAATATAGAGAACAAGTCAAAGGGAAGTCTCTATGGTGGAGTGAGGTGGGGGTGGACCCCAAGCTGCCCACTGGCACTTCTCATCAGTCCCATGGGGACTTGGGAAACACAATTGGTTGGTCTAGTTTGTTCATCTCACAGATGTTGTTGTTGTTGTTGTTAGGTGCCATTGAGTCAGTACCGACTCATAACGACCCTATGTACAACAGCACAAAACACTGCCCGATCTTGGGCCAACCTCACAATTGTTGCCATTTTACCAATCCATCTCACTGGGGGTCTTCCTCTTTTTCTCTGACCCTCCACCTTACCAAAAACATGATATCCTTCTCCAGCGACTGGTCTCTCCTGACAATATGTCCAAAAGTATGAGAGATGAAGTTTGGCC